TACTCCTGGTTGTTCTCTGGGACTACTTTTGGCTAAATTCAAATGACCATATATGGTGCTGGGGCTTGAACTCAAATCAGCTGCATGCAAAGCCTTACCTGCTATGGTATCTCTCCACTCCCTTAAAAACAGTATTTTATAAGCCATGTTGGTGATTTTTTTCCCTCCCCTCCTCTGAAATCTATGAGCCAAGGGAAACTATATGGACTTTAAACAATGGAGTGATGTGGATGTAGTTCTCTACCCTAAAAAAACAGTCTCTGGTGTGATGGTGAATGTGAAGAGATTAGAAATGAATGAGGGAAAGTTCAAGAGACTCAAAGAAGTGGCAGAACATAGATTTGAAAGAAGGTTGTGAATTTGTATGTATTGGTTTTGAGGTTTCTCTGACTGTCATATGCATTTGAATTATATGTGACTACAACAAAGATACAAAGTTTAGGAAAAGACAGGGTTAATTGAAACTAGGTGTAGATGAAGTTTAGAGAATCTTAGACTAATAAAGAGAATGAGAAGACATAACAGGGGTAGGTAAAATGGAGACTAGGAAATGATGGTATCAAATGATGCTACCATGGAAGCTTATTTAATGAAAGAAGATAATAGAAATGCTTAATGCTACACCGATGAAGACTGAAAAACAATCCATTTGACTTAGTAAATATGTTAATCTTAGAACTGCTTAGCGTAAAGATAAAGTGAATAAAGTAGATTGAGAAGTGTGAGATGAGGTAACTAAGGAAATGCAGCCAGATGCTTTAGAAAATTTTTTCTCTTTGGGTCATACCTGGGGATGCACAGGGGTTACTCCTGGCTCTGCACTCAGGAATTACTCCTGGTGGTGCTCAGGGGACCATATGGGATGCTGGGAATCGAAACCGGGTCAGCTGTATGCAAGGCAAATGCCCTACCCACTTCAGCCCCTGCTTTAGAAAATTTAACTTGAATAAGAAGAGAGAAATGGGACAATAGCCCAGCAGAAAGGTAGCGCTGATGGATGGATGGATGGTAAGAATTAAATGTGCTCAAATACTGACAGCAACAGGTAGAGAATGTAAAGTCGAATGCCCTTGAAAGGAAAATTCAAGATGAGCTTACTGATGAAAAATTGTATCTTGATCCTGGACCTGGGATGGACCCCTCTGTAGATGTAGAGGTGAAGGAGAAATTTAATACCAAATTCTCTGTAGTATATTAACTGGGGTCCAGACTGGAAACAAAACTTCCCAGTAATATGAATAAGAAAGTTGAATGTAGAGAATTAACTATGTAGGGGATTGCATGATAAGAGGAAAAGTAAAACTGGAGTATAGGGATATTATATTGAAGTACGAATAGGCACAACTCAGGACGAGACAGACCATCCAAGGAAGGAACAAATCTGGAAAAACCCACTCTTTGACCCCAACCCTTCCTCACCACTTGAAGATTTGGTTCATTGTGTGACAGAGAAGCTTGCTGAGGTGTTACACTGATGAAATTCCCCATGATGCTGTGAAAATCTCCTTGTCCAAGGAGATACTTACAGAGTTGTTCTCTGGAGTTCAAAGGAAATCTCCCTCCCCTAGGAACCAACAGGAGCGACTGGTTACCTCACATGTAAAAGGCTGCTCTGAGATGTACTTTGGAATAAAGAAAATTTTTTTCCCTTCTTTGAAGTCATTCCAGTGCCCTTTATGTATAAAAACTTAAAACCCTACAAACTGACAAAAGAGTGGGTTTTTTGGGGGGGGTCACACCTGGCTATGCACAGGGGTTACTCCTGGCTCTGTACTCAGGAATTACTCCTGGTGGTGCTCAGGGGACCATATGGGATGCTGGGAATTGAACCCAGGTCGGCCGCGTGCAAGGCAAACGCCCTACCCGCTGTGCTGTCACTCCAGCCCCAAAAGAGTAAAGTTTTAAACTTTTGTAAATAGACAGTGCTTCCATTGCCTGAAATAATGGTGCTGAGAGAGAGACCCCAAGTGGCACTTGTATTACTGATCTTAAGTAGTTTTTCCCCCATTTTTTGCTATAGCAATAAACTTTTATATCCTGTATTAGAAAGCTGTGTACATGTTTCTTATTTCACATACTTAATATTTAATCGCATTAAAGCAGGTTTAGAGATATGATGAGTGGTCCTTAAGTTTTGCTCTTTACTTTTGTATCAAGTGTCTTGAACCAAAAAATAGCGTTTAATGAAGGGACTTGAGTAATCAATCACCTAGTCATAAAACAAAAATTTTTATTTTAAAAAGTTATTAAAAATGTAATTTTTTAACGTTTATTTTTAATATGTTATTAAACAAATTGTCCTTTCAGTAACAACATCTATTTTCTGGGGCTGGAGAGATAGTGCAGAGAGTAAGGTACTTGCCTTGCAATTCGTTCAAACCAGATTTGATCCCATACCCTATATGGTCTCCTGAGCCTGACAAAGCCTGGAGTAAGTACTGAGCACAACCAGGTGTGCGACCCACCTACATCTCTCCCCACCCCCATCCCTCATCAACAAAATGCAATTAAAAAAAAAAGACCTTACGTTAGTGTCATTTGTGGTTCAAGATTAGTCAGGATATTTTTATTTAGTTATTTCCTCATTGCTGTCAAAACCAAGGACATTCATTTTTCTTTATGTTTTTGACTCCAGTGTTGCTTTTAATGTGATAAAAATACAGTGGTCAGCCTCTTTATTACTATCAGTGCTATCCCTGATTTTTATTGTCAGTTCCTAGGAGATTGTAGATTTGCAGGATGTTTTCATAAGGATATTTGACAAGTTAAATGCCAGTGATAATACTAAGTTCTGAGTTTTCTTTTCCTAATAAATGAATTCTCTATATTTTATAGTAAAGTGTTCAAAAGAGGTCTTGGAGAGATTTTTTTCTTAACCAGACAATGACTAATCATTTGGGGGGTCAAAGTGGAGGTGGAGGTAGTTCCAGACACACCCAGCTGTGCTCAGAGCTAATTTCTTACTCTGTGCTAAGGGATCACTCCTGGTGGTATTCTGGGCATCACATGCTGTGCTGACGATCAAATCAGGATTGTGCACACGCAAGGCAAGCATTTACTTACTGGCCCCTATGATAATCATTTTAAGAAATGCTTTTTTCTGAGTATTAAAGATTAAGACATACTAAAATGATGTGACAATTTTATGGTCCTAAAACCATTGAAAACTATAGTGCTATTTTTGACCTTTATCAAAAATTTTTTTAATTCATTGTGACATTCATACAATTTACTTCTCACACAAAATTTGTATTTCATTAGTATTTGTTTAACTTAACCTACTAGATACATATGGAAGTATTAGGAGCAAAGCAGCATTTTATAATTTGATTTTTATTGTTGTTGCTTAGACAATACCCTAAACTCTGGGTCAAAGAGTATGATACTGGTGGGAGGGGGGGAGGGAGGGAGGGGAGTTGAGTGAAGACCAGGGCTATTTTACGTTGGTAGACTAGCTATGTAATGAGATTGAACCCAGGACCTCATGAGGCATGTGCTCTATCACAGAGAGATAAAATGATCTCTAATTTTATTGAGTTTGATTGACTATGGAAACACAAAATAATATATCCTTATAGAATTAAAAATTGTTGTTGTTGGACCACACCCAGTGGTACATAGAGGTAACTCCTGGCTTTGTACTCAGAAGTCACTCCCGGCAGGCTTAGGGGACCATATGGGATGCCAGGGACCAAACCATAGTCAGTCGCATGCAAGGCAAGCACCTTACCCCTTGTATCCTCGCTCTGACCCTATTAGACAGAATTTTTCTGGTTGCCTTTAAGTGCTTTGAATTCCCCACCTGAAAGTTCTGTAACATTTCTCTGTAAGAAAGACAGTGGGTTTTTCATTTTTTACTTTATTTAAACGCAGTGTTTGTTTAAACAAACTTGATCATAATACAATTGTTACAGGCATTCAGTGTTCAGTCAATCCTACCACTGTAAAGTGTGATCTTTCTTCCAACACTATCCCTAGTTTCCCACCCACTTACCAAGCCTACCCTCTTAGCAGGCACTACGTAATTTATTTTATATTTATTGCTTGTTACAACCAAGAGAAGAATGGAATTACCAAAAAAAAAAAATTGTGAAAATTGTTGTATCTTACTATGGAAGCATTAAATCCTTGTCTGAGGTTCACTAAGTTGTGCGTTCCTAGTTGTACCATCTGTGTTACTGTTTTTGTTTATTGAGCTTAGTTGGCATCTGTGTTACTTTCCCATCTACTTTGGAAGTGTTGTGCGGCTTCATATGTGGCAGCAAGCTCAAGGAGCTCCAGGGTCTGGATTGATGAATTTATGTGATGGCTCATGTGGGATGTGGTTATGGCTATTAGGGCTTCCAAAATTGGGGGCTTGTATTGCAATGTGTGTATGTGGGGGGAGACGACCTGCCCCCACTCTAAGAAAACCCCAGAGTTTTCCTTCTGAAAACTAGAATTTTTGTCACTTTGGTGTCTTCGCAGAGATTATTCATTAGAGTGTCGTTGGGCTGTTGGCTCGTCATGACAGCTCTGGGGTGTGGGTACAGGGTGGGAACTCGACCCACTCCCATCCTGAAGGCATCCCAGATATTTCAGCCATAACAACAGTATAACTGAGTTTTTTGTGGCTTGGCCTATATCTTTTCTGCGATTAGTCATGAATCTGTAAGACTGGGGTAGTGATTTTACATGGTAGTACCTATGGGATGTGGATGTAATCCGGAAAGAGAAAAGTTTTTAAGATTCATTGTTCATATTGTACCATTCTATTTCTTCAAAGAAGAAATAGAAAGATTTGTTATCTAGCTGTGTGCAAAGTTCACTCAGAAGTGTTGATTGTGCCCTACCATGTGTCACCAGGTGATTCTGTATATTCTAAATTATTGAATCTAATGTTACCATAATAGTAGTCATCCATTAAACTTTTGTTGGGGTGATAGTATGATATTCTTTATTATGACTACTTGTTAATTTAGTGTTTATTTCTTAGTAATTTACTTTTTTTGGTGTTTCAGGACTACAGGAATATGTGGAGGCTGTCTCTTTTCAACACTTCATCAAAACACGATCATTGATTAATATGGATGAAATTAATAAGCAGTTGATATTTACAGTAGAAGATAATGGGAAAGAAAATAAGACTGTAAGAATTTAAAATCATTTTACATTATCGCATAAGTTATATAACTATGTTGACTATGATACAACTTTAATACACTTGATCCTAAGAACATGAATATGGAAATATCCTAAAAGTAAAGTGTGGTTTTCTGAATTTACAGCTAGGAAATGGTCTTTAATATATTTTACTTAGGGCTAGAGTGATATCTTAGAGGAATGAATACGTGCTTTATATGTTGGAGGACTGGGTTCCAACTCTAGCACTGCACTGGTTCCTAGGCACTGCTGAGAGTAACCCTTGGGCATTGCTGGAGGTAACCCTTAAGCACACCACTACATGTGGCCCAGACCAAACATCCCCTCTTTGCCCTGTTTACCTCCTTTACAAACGTGTGTAGGGGGGGAGTGTGTGTGTGAGTGTGTGTGTGTTTGTAAAATTTTTCGTTGTTTTGGGGTCATAGCCAAAGGTGCTGAAAACTTAATTTCTCTGTGCTCTCAGGATCACTCCTGGCAGGACTTGGGGTCCTGGGGTGCTGGGGATTGAACCTGGGTCAGCCGTGTGCACGACCAATGCCTTACCCACTGTACTTTGACTCTGATCCCCAGAGAAAATATCTTAAAAGATAGAACAGGAACAATAATGTGTGTAGAAAAGGGGAATCATACTTAATCTAACGCATGTTGAGTGAATGAATACTATGTCTGCCTTTGATTTTGCTATGCACTATCTGTTTTGTATACAATGTTTTGTTTATTATCTATGTAAAGCAAAAGGCTTACATAATTTATCAGAAGTTACATGACTAAGTATGTCATAGCTTAGCTTTGAAACCAGATATCTGGAATCCAACTTAATACTCTTGTCCACTCTGCCAGTATTTACCAAAGAAATGTTTTAAAGGATTTGATATACAGGTTTTTAATTAGGCAATATATATATGATATATAAGTATGTAATAATTGTTATAAGAGCGAATTTTAAATAATCATATAGTGAAATGTTCACTCAGTTCATAATGCTTAAATCTGAAATGAATATAACTTTTCTGAATTAAGAAAAAGGATTGCACTTTTATTTTGTGAAGGGGCTTCCCTACAGTGTTGCATGGGTTGGGGGGAAACAGTTACTTCTGGTGATATTTGATACTTGACATTGTACCTGAACTTGCCTGTCAGTTCAGTATTAGAGCTCAGCACAGTGTAATGTGCAGTGCCTGGGCGAAAGCTCAGGACTTTGTACATGGAAGGAATGTACTCAGACCCCTTGATCTCTGTCTCTGGCCATTGCTCTTCTTTGGATGGAGGGATTTAGGCCATAACTGATAGTGCTCAGGGTGGTACATAGTACTGGTGATTGAATCAGGTTTGGGTGCATGTGGTTAGGTAAGCACCTTAACCTCTGGACTCATCAATGCCAATTTAACTGTTAAAAGAATATTTTTTGTTTTGTTATGGGTTTTTGCTGTTTTTTAAGATAAATATTCAGGCAACAAGATGAATTTTGAGAATCAGGTACCACCTGAGATACCAGTAGACTGGTAATTTATTTTTCATCACATCTTTTCATATGATGATTTTCAAACCACTTAAATTCTCAGTACAAGATTTCAGGAGATGAGACAAATTGTAGAAGTGTTTTCATGCATGCTAATCAAAAATGTTAATAGTAGAAAGGAATGCTTAATTTTGCATGATACATAAAATTTGAAGGAGGCAATGTATTTTCTTTTTTCTTTCTTTTTTTATAATTTTATTTATTGAATCATCGTGAGAGCAGTTACAAAGCTTTCGGGTGTAAGTCTCGGTCATACAATGAAACACCCCTACCTTCACCAGTGCCCATTCTCCACCACCAAAAACACCAGTATGCCCCCATCCCACACTCTCCCCCTACCTGTCAGGCAGATGATTTCCACGTTACTCTCTCTCTACTTTGACCACATTCAGTATTTCGACACCAGACCCACCATTATTATTTGAGATTTTACCCCAACACTCAGATCTGCTGAAAAGGCAGCAGTAGACAATTTGTGTTCCATTGCTTGTTATGAATAACATATGATGTCACGTGGCTGCAGTAGGGCCATGTGATTTTGAAATTCCGAAATTTTAACACTTAAATCTGGAGGGATTTCTGCCAAAAGTCACTGGGTTTCGAGATTTGCTCCTGAGTCTCTGGGATCATGGCTGTTGAGCAGCTTGATCAGGAGCTAGAGAGGCCGTTCGTGGGCGATGACTTGGGATCTCGTTGGGGTGGGGACGACAGGCAGTGTATTTTCTTAATATTTAAAATACATAAAGTTAAGCAGAGGTGTTTTTTTATTTAGTCGTTGAATAATTTTTTTAATTATAGTTTATAGGTAACATGGTTGCAGTAGTATTACATGGTTTTGATGTACACAATTACTACACCTCACCACCACCAAAATATTCTCCACCAACTTCTTATGTTCCTTCTATTCCTTTGTTTGATGGGATGCCATATGTGATGCAGGGGACCAAACCTGGTTTGGCTGCATGCATGGCAAGCGCCCTACCTGCTGTATCTCTCCAGTCACTATATATTCTTCTATTCCACCTCTCCATTCTCCCACCCCCAACGCCAGTATCGCCCGTATTGCTTGGTGATCCAGTTTTGTAATCCATGGCTAAGGTTATACTCATTGAGTTCTGTGTACTCACATGCATCGTTTCTCTGGGTACTATAGATGAATGAGATAATTCCATATTTGTCCCTTTCTCTCTGATTTATTTTACTTAACATGATATTCTCCAATTCCATCCAAATTGCAGTGAATTGTAGTTTATCTCTTTTTATAGCTGTGTTGTATTCCATTGGATATATATCCCTACATCTGTATTGTAAATTTGAGTTGTTAATATGTCCTGGTTATTGTACTTGTGTTTTAATAAATATAGGTGTGCATATATCTTTTCATATTAATGTTTTTGTGTTTGGGGGTTAGATACCAAGAAGTGGAATCACTGTCATGTGGAAGCTCTCTTCATTTTTTGAATAATCTCCATCCTTTTTTTACCTGAGAGACTAAATCAGATACATTCCAGAAATGGTTACTATCCATGAGTGTTCTTTTCTATCACATCCCTCCTCACCTTCATCTTTTTGATAACTGTTATTTTTACTAGTGTGATATGATACCTTACTGTTGTTTTAATTTGCATTTCTCTGGTAATAAATGATGAACACTTTCTCAGCATGCATACTGGCCATCTGTGCTCCTCTTCAAGGGAAGTGTCTGTTTAGATGATTAAATTATAGATGGGAAAGTAAATCTGCTTAAATATGTTAGGGAAGTTACCACACCTTACTTTTTAATTTTCTCTAATTTAGAAAAGGACTATCAGGGGCCAGAGTGATTTTATAGTGTGTAGGGCATGTGACTGATTGGGTTTCAATCCCTGGCACCTCATAAGGTCACCTGAACCTACGAGGAATAATCCCTGACCACAGAACCAGGAGGAAGCCCTGAGCACTGGTCCAAAAACAAAAAACAGAACAGGAATGACAGGTCAAAAAAAAAAAAAAAAAGGAAAGAGAAATGAAATAAGTGCACTGTTTTCTGAATTTAGGTGATAAACTATTTTAAGTTTATAGCTCCAGGATGGGCTGGAGGAATAGCACAGCAGGTAGGGCGTTTGCCTTGCACGCAGCCGACCTGGGTTTGATTCTTCCATCCCACTCGGAGAGTATCCTGCCCGTGCTGCAGAGCCTGGCAAGCTCCCCCTGGCGTATTTGATATGCCAAAAACAATAACAACAAGTCTCACAGTGGAGACGTTACTGGTGCCCACTCGAGCAAATTCATGAACAACGGGAGGACAATGCAGTGCAGTGAAGTGCAGCTCCAGGATATTCATATATACCTTTTCAGTTATTAAAGTCACATTCATAAATAGTTTTTGTTCAGTGTTAAGGTTTCTTGATGCAGAAAATTCTGGAAATTCATTTGGGGAAGTTATTTTGATCTGACTTTCCTATTAAGAATATTGTCTAAACCAGTATTTTACAACCTGGGAATTATTTCTCAACATTTCTCATATGCCACACCCCTTCCCTGTTGACCCACACTATGTTCCAAGGACTGTGGTATGAGTCTAGGGACCAACTTTTGTAAGTGGGGTGGTTAAACTTTATAATGAGAAGTTTCAGGCATGTAGAAAAGTAGAAAATTCTTGTAACACAAACATATGATACCCACTATCTGGATTCAGTATTTAACAGTTTTTCTTATTTGTATACTCTAAATCAGTGATTTTTGAATGCTGGTCTACAGGCAAGTGCCAGTCTATAGGTATTAAAAGACTAAATGACATTTAGTTAGACCAGTGCTTTTCAACCATGTCTGAAGTGTGGTACATGTCTGTAGTTATAAAAAATTTGAAAACTACTTGTCTAAATATTTCTTATTAAGTACTTATAGATGTAATGATATTTTACTTCCGAATCAGATGCCTTTGAAATACTGCATTTTAATAGCTTTTTCTTCATTCTCTAAGTATCAATAAAACAGATTTATTTCCTTGATAGTTAATATGAAATTTAAGTTTTTGATATGCTTTTATCTCCAAAGTGAGCTTTCTGTCTGATGTTAATGATAAATATTTTCTTTCTTTTTTTTTTTCTTTTTGGGTCACACCCAGCGATGCACAGTGCACAGGGGTTACTCCTGGTTTTGCTCTCAGGAATTATTCCTGGCGGTGCTCAGGGGACATTTGGGATGCTGGTGATCAAACCCAGGTTGGCTTCGTGCAAGGCAAATTCCCTACCTGCTGTACTATCTCTCCAGCCCAATGATAGATATTTTCTTAAGCAGAAGTTATATTTTTATTTATAAAAATAAAGATTAAGTAAATTAAAATAAAGTAACCCAGATTTGCAATCTGCCTTTTGTAAAATTTTCCCAGTTCTGTGATGGTAAAGAGAAATAAAATGTAGCAGGTACTTTTATATATCATGATGTGGTTTCAGAGGTATAAGAATAATTGGTGGGAGAAAAATGTAGGTAGAACCCTCCATGGCATTGAAGCTAAAGGCATATTTAAGGGTGAAACACCACTGAGCAAGCAAGTGGAAACAAATAGAGACAAACAGGACTGCATTAATCTAAGAAGCTTCTTTACCTCAAAAGAAACAGTGACCAAAATACAGGGACAGCCCACGGAATGGGATAAGTTGTTTACCTAATATCCATCAGATAGGGGCTTAATATCCAGGATATACATGACACTGTAGAATTGTATAAGAAAAAAACTCCAACGCCATAAAAAAAATGGGGAGAAGAAATGAATAGAAACATCCTCAAAAAAGAAACACAAATGGCCAAAAGGCACATGAAAAAAATGCTCTACATAGCTAATCATCAGGGAGATGCAAATCAAAACAACAATGAGGTATCATCTTACACCACAGAAACTGGCACATAACAAAAAACGAGAAAGACCAGTGCTGGCAGGGATGTGGGGAGAAAGGGACTCTCTTTTGTTGGTGGGAATGAGACTGGTCCAGTTGTCCGAAAACAATATGAGCATTCCTCAAAAAATTAGAAATTGGGCTTCCATATGACCCAGCAATATCACTTCTGGAAATATCTCCTGAGGATGCAAAAAAAGCACAGTAGAAATGACATCTGCACCTATATGTTCATAGCAGCACTGTTTTCAACAGCCAGAATCTGGAAACAACCCAAGTGCCCAAAAACAGACAACTTGTTAAGAAAACTTTGGTACCTCAACACAGTGGAATACTATACAGCTGTTAGAAAAGATGAAGTCATGAAATTTGCTTCTAAGTGGATGGTTGTGGAGAATATCATGCTAAGTGAAATGAGTCAGAAAGAGAGGGACAGACATAGAATGAATGCGCTGCACTCATTTGTGGAATATAAAGTAACAATATGAGACTAACACCCAAGGATAGTAGCGACAAGGGCCAGTAAGATTGCTCCATGGCTGGAAGCCTGCCTTATGAGCTGGGGGAAGAGGCAACTTGGTTAGAGAAGGGATCACTAAGTCAGTGATGTCTGGGGGCATGGCTCAGGATGGGAGATATGTGCTGAAAGTAGATAAAGGAGCAAACATGATGGCCTCTCAGTATCTGTATGCGAACCGTTATTCCCAGAAGTAGAGAGTAAGAAGGAAAGTGTCTGTCATAGAGGCAGGAGGTGGGACTGGGTGGGTGGTGGTAGAGATACGGCGAACATTGGTTGTGGAAAATGTACCCTGGGGGAGTGATGGGTATTCAATCATTTTATGACTGAAACTCAATGATGAAAGCTTTGTAACTGTATCTCACAGTAATTCAATAGAAAAAAAGAGGCGGAGAATAATTGGTGGTAAGCTGACTTTGGGTAACTTATCCCATTCTGAAGTTAACTTGTTGTCTTACCTGAGATGTTTCTTGGACCTCATTTCTCAATGATTTTGTGAACTATGAAATTCAGATTTTTAATGAGCTTTCTGCCTGTCTTTTAGATGTATTCTATGCTATTTTTTACTCTAAACTTGACTAGGTACTTCTTGAGCTTGGGATATGGCTCAAGTGGTTGAACACTTGCCTAGAATGTATGAGGCCCATCATTTGATCCCCAGTACTACATCACTCGCCCAGCACCATGGTTGTGAATATGCCAGGTGTGGCTCTTACATGTAACACTTCACTAATCCCTCCAGTGTACAATACAGTTCTTAACTGGCACCTTTTACAGTTTCCTGTGTCTAAAATGTCCTCCAGTATAATTGTACTTCATAGCTAACTCATTTCTTTTTTGGATCACACCTAGTAACTTTTGGTTTTGCTTTTATTTTACTTAGCTTTGGGTCACACCTGGTAGTTCAGGGCTGATTCTCTTGGCTCTGCTGGGGGTGGGATAACTCCCAGTGATGTTTGCGGGGGACTGTGTGGTCTTGGAAACCAAGCCTAGGCCTTGCACATGCAAACTATGCTATCAGCCCATTGAGCTGTCTCTATTGTCTCTGTGCAGACTTTAAATAGCAGCTTAGGCATCATCCCTTCTAGAAAGAACTCAATAGAGAAAAATTCATGTGATGTAAGGAGATTGTTGTGATGATGGTAATGGTGATAGCAGATAACATTTATTGAGTATATACTTTTTGTTGGACATTATGCCAAGAACTTGGTGTAAATCTTATCCTTAAAATAAACCTCTGAGGTAGGTACTGTTATCCCATTTTACAGATGAGGAAACTGAGGTTTAGAGAGAGATGAAATAACTTGCCCAAGGGCATACACCTTATGAAGCAAGGTCCTGGAAGAGGTGGGAGGAGATGGGTCAAGGTCATTTGGAAGAGTTAACCTCAAACAAGAGGAGGGACATCTCATCATCTGAGACTGGAGGATAGAAGGTAAAGATGGATGTGGACTTCTAAATAAGTTTTATGTTGTTTGTTTGTGTTTTTGGTAGGGGTAAAGTAATTGGGACGGCTTGTGTCAGATAATGACCAAAAAAGTGAAAGTAGGCAAGATTGTTTACTGAGAGTGAAGGGGTTTGGGGTCGAATAGGGCTTTGTGGAGAGTGGTAAAGATTTGGAATAGTTTTTGAGAAGACTAAAGGGAGATCTATCTTAAGAATAAAAGTGAGTAATTTATAGGGATACGAACACCATATATTTGTGATTATTTAACTCAGTACTCAGCTGTTTGAATAAAGCACTAAAAAGAAGATTTTAGTTTGTATCAGTGTTGTGAGTTTGCTGGACAAGTATAATAGGAAAAGAATGAATCTAAAGGAACTGAGCAGAATGCAGTCAGGAATAAGAAGTCATGATGGTCATAACTGAGTGTGAATAGGAAATGTCAGAAATGGACTAAGAAGTGACTTAAGAAAACATGTATGGATCATAAACCTCTAGAGGACTTTGTAATTTGTCATTTTGAATAAGTGATCATCAAACAGAAAAATAATTAAGCCTTGTTTAAAAATGTTCCAACTTTAGTATTTGTATGTCAAATGAAATTGCAAATAATTTTATACAGTATTACATTTAAACATTAGTTCAGGGTATAAATTTTGCTAAACACTTCATATGGTCATTAAAACATGGTAAATCATTTTATTTTTAGAAGATTACTATCAGTGGTTTTAATTTTATGCCTTAAATATAATGTATGGACATTCACTTGTTTCTATGCTGTGTTTTCTTTGTATGTGTTATGTGTTCTGTTTGTTTTATGTTTTTGTCCAGGCCGCTGATGCACAGAATAAACCATGTGGTACATGGAGACTGAAAATCACACCTGTTGATTACCTTCTGGGAGTGGCCGATTTGACTGGAGAGTTGATGCGGATGTGCATTAACAGTGTGGGAAATGGGGACATCGACACCCCCTTTGAAGTGAGCCAGTTTTTGCGTCAGGTGTATGATGGGTTTTCATTTATTGGCAACACTGGACCTTATGAGGTCTCTAAGAAGCTGTATACCTTAAAACAAAGTTTGGCTAAAGTAGAGAATGCTTGTTATGCCTTGAAAGTCAGAGGTTCAGAAATTCCAAAACATATGCTTGCAGATGTTTTTTCAGTTAAATCAGAAATTATTGATCAAGAAGAGGGCATTTCTTAGAACAATATTATTCAGCTATTCTCTTGAATGCTAGGAGAGACCAGCTTGTATGACTGTTAAAATTTAGGAGGACTTTGTAATTTGTCATTTTAAATAAGTGATTGTCAAACAAAAAATAACAAAGCCTTGTTTAAGGATGTTCCAATTTTACTATTTGTTGTACATTAGTCTTTACATTTATCAGTTTCTGCCAGATATCCAGACATTACTCTTTCCATTTACCAGTTTTTCCTTAGATTACTTTAGTTCTTTAAGTTGTGTAAAAGTTGTATATAAAATTGTTAAAATGAGTCATGTCATATCTAACTCATGAAAGTCTGAATACAAGTATTTGCAGTATTTAAAATTTGGCTGGTTTACTTTTATCATTATGTTGGTAGTGTGAACATGTTTCTTTGTGCACTTTCTGCATACTGAATTTACTTTGTGTGAATTTTGGAGTGGTAATATTTAGTAGAAGCAATTATAATTTAATGGTGATTTTGTTATGTGAAGAAAGCATTTAGTAGAAGCAATTATAATTTAATGGTGATTTTGTTATGTGAAGAAAGCATGTATCAGACTTCCTGTTTAAATTTCACGATTATGGGGCTGGAGTGATAGCACAGCGGGTAGGGCGTTTGCCTTGCACGCGGCCAACCCGGGTTTGATTCCCAGCATCCCATATGGTCCCCTGAGCACCGCCAGGGGTAATTTCTGAGTGCAAAGCCAGGAGTAACCCCTGAGTATCGCCAGGTGTGACCCAAAAAAAGCAAAAAAATAAAAATAAATAAATTTCACAGTTATATTGTGCCAAGCCTTCAAAATGAGCTTATTTCATGAAATAAGAATAAAATTGAATAATCAAATATACTTTCATTTATTAGGTGCTAAAAAGTTCATTTATTATGCTGCTATTAGGCCATTTGAGTCCATATGAAACAGACTTCCAGAAAATTTGCCAGATATCCAGACATTAGTCTTTACATTTAATTTTTGTCTTTTCACAGAAAATTGATAAAGAATATTACCACTGTAATAGTTTCATTGATATATAAGTTGAATTATATGCTTACACATACAACTGAAAAGCTTGTAGTAGTGGTTAACTTTTGTTATTATATCACACTAAACGTGTTTGGAGACTTTTTTATTCTAGCATTAGAATTGTGAAATTAGACATGAATAATTACAATTAAGTTTTGAAATTTTTGAACTGCTAAGTTAACTCAAACCTTTATACTTGTCCAGTTGTGTTAAATGAGAGTGTAAAAAGTTGCCAAAGAAAATTTATCATGTAAAATTCAGCAATAAGACAATTGTCAACATGGTTGGGGATAACAATGCTAGTGTCTAGTAATATTTAGAGTTAGAACTTATCTATTGGAATTAGTTCTAGATTATTCCATGTGATGTTAAACTGATGTAAGCATGACACTGTTGGCTGACATAGATATTTCCATTTGTTTTGTGAGTTTTGAAAATCTAAATACTGGATTTTATTTTTGGAAAAATTATCTGCTCTGTTTACAAGAGCTGACCCTTTGAAAGTGTAATAAAAAAAAAACCAAAAAGAAAATAAAACATAGACATGCCTAATAAATTAGTTTTGTTTTATTTTGGTAGTAGGTTCTGTTTATTTATTTTGAAGTAAAGCACTTTATTTGGAGGTTTTTAGGAAGCAAAAGGAGGTAGAGAAAGTGAGAAAGTGTAACACTCTCAAGAGAAAACGGGCTTCTCTAAAGGTGGAGAGGGCTCCTACACACACACCAGCATTAGATACAGAAATATGAAAGCACACATCTCAAGAGGGGAGATGCAGTGACACATGTGCTCAGCCACATATATACAAGCAGCACATGGGCTTGGGCAGCATATGTGCCCAGGCTTTATTTTATTTTACTTACTGTCTTCTGCTGAAAAGTACAGTTTTCTTACATAATTTTCACTTAAAAGTTAAGTTTTTCATGTTAAATAATGTTAAATTGATAATTGATTATCCTATTATTTAAAATTAACTTTTTTCAATTCAGGGATTAAACTGGTTTTTTACTATATTGAGAAATTTTAATCAAACATACAAAAATTTTGGCTTAATCAGAAAAACCAGTGTGGTTTTCTAATCTTAATAGTCACTAATGTGGTGATTTGTGGGCTGGAGTGATAGCACAGCGGTAGGGCGTTCACCTTACAAGCAGCCAACATGGCCGACCCGAGTTCGATTCCTCCGCCCCTCTCGGAGAGCCCGGCAAGCTACCGAGAGTATTTGATATGCCAAACACAGTAACAACAAAGTGGTGATTTGTACTTTCTTCAAATAAATCCAGAGGTAGTATTCTTCACAATACCATCCTCAAAACCTATCAGTAGAAAGGAGAATTAGGAAGACCAGAGAATTAATATAGCGGGATAGGGCATTTGCCTTGCACATAACTGACCTGGGTTCAACCCCTGGCACCCCATATGCTTCCCTAAGTGCAGAGCCATAAGTAAGCACCGATCACTGCTGAATGTTGCCCCAACCTCAACACCCCCTTCACCTCACACATACCCCCAAAAGGAAAAAAAGAATTAGATCACCTGTCTGAAAAGGGTGAAAGTGCCTTTTCTCTGAGGAAGGCAAGCACAAGAAACCAAATTAGGTTGTTGCCATCAGACAAGAAGGGGATCTGATGGTGCAGTCAGTAGTATTCATTATAGACTAATTAGTATTGTTACTATTGAAACATCTCCACATTACATGTCATATAAGACTGTGGGTAGTAGGGAATCTCTGTGTTTTATTTTTATATTTTTACCGCATATTAGTATTTTTATTTTATTTTTTTAAATTATTATTTTTTACTGTTAATTTTTTTTAAATTTTTTATTTGTTGAATCACTGTGAGAACAGTCACAAAGCCTTTCAGTTTAAGTCTCGGTCGGTCATACAATGATCAAACACCCTCCCTTCATCATTGCACATTTTCCACCACCAAGAACGCCAGTATACCCCTCTCCCTACCTGTGTGGCAGATTTCCACTTTACTCCTTCTCTACGTTGATCACATTCAATATTATGACAAAAGACCCACCATTTTTATTTGGAATTTTCCCCAACAATCAGACCTGCCAAAAAGACATCATTAGATAATTTGTTTTCTATTGCTGATTATGAAGAGCATATGATGTTGCATGGCCGCTGTTGCGACTGTGCAATTTTGGATTTCTGATATTCTAGTAATAAGTCAGGAGGAATTACTGCCCAAAGCCGCTGGTTTCTGAGATTGGTTTGTGTGCCTCTGGGATCATGGTCATTCAGGAGCCAGAGGAGGTGTTCGTGGGTGGCAACTTGGGGCCTTGTCAGGGCAGGGAGCAGGGCCGATTCCACCCCCAACCCCATGAGGCCCCACGTGCCTCATCACTGCAGTCTCATACCTGGCTGTCCATTAGGCTCTGAAAGATAGCAGCCACCATGTCACCGCTGCCAGGGGAAAAAGGCAGAGGGACAAACACCCTTCTCCTCTGGGGGTGGCATGGCACTGTAGTTTAATGCACAGTCCAGATGCATTTTGGTTGGGCATTATATTTTGCTCACATTTTCCCACCACCATTCAAGCCTGCATTCCAGGGACAGACGCTAGATAATTTACTTTCCATTGCACACTTTGCATATCAGAAAAGGTGCGGCCGCGCAGTTCAGAATAGTCCTGGTGCCCACATACCAGAGCCTTTTTGTAGAAGCTCAGGGTCTCCTGGATTTCATCTGGAGAAGGCGGGGAGACAGCACCTGCCCCAATCTGGGACCTGGCGATATCGGCTTGTTGTGGGGCCTGGAGAATTCTCCCAGTGTTGTGGAGCCTGCCGGCCAGGTTTCTTCACTGCGGTGTGCCAATCTCTGTGTTTTAAATGTGCTTGAGGGCTTTTCATGGCTCTGTGCTTAGGGTTCACTTTATTCAATCCTCGGGGAATATGTAGTGCTGGAAATTAAACTCAGGTCTCCTATGCAAAGCATAGGTTCCTGCCTGTGATCTATCTACTCAGGCCCCCTTATTGATATTTATTTACCCCCCAAGATTAATATTTATACAGAGATGACCTATTGTGACTGCTCCCTGTATATCCCTGTATATATATTTACACATCCCAAGGGAAATATGCTTTGCTTTTATGGAATAAAATAAGTTACTATTGTACTATCTTCAAATTTGGGGATAAAGGTTTTTTTTTTTAAGACTTTCATTGCTGAATTTTTTGCAGCTTTATTGAGATAAAAGTGACATATAACTAAGTTTTAGGTAGAATTATTGCTTTGATCCATTTCTAAGTGGCAAAATATTTACCATTTTGAATTATTTTCATTTTCATTCTGTCACAGTTAACCTTTTTTTTAATATGTGTGGTAAGATCTACTCAGAAACATTCAAGTATATGATCAAATAGTGTTAGTTTGTACCCTTTGAGCGATAGCTCCCCATTTCTGCCTATATTAGGTTTACATTTGCAGATGCATGCACATGTGCATACACATATCAACAGGAGTTTTTCTGAAATACCTCTTAGTACTATGTGTGGAGGTAAAATGAATAGAAACCATAGCAATATCAAACAGGCATAACCATAATGCTATTGACCGTTCCAAAAAAGATTTGAGTACAAAATCACCAGGTAAGGAATGACAAGGATCATAGACTGAATGGTAGCAGAAGAAAGTTAGTTATATCAACTCTTAATCTGTCATCTCAGGAGCAACTGCAGAAACCAGAAGTTCAGTGACATTATATATTTGCTTCTGACTTTGTAATCTGTTATATATTTATCAGTTGTTTCTTCCTCTTGTTTTACTTTGTTATTTAATGTATAGTGTGTTGGTGGTTGTTAACCTTTTAATTTCATCTTCAAGTTACAGAATGTCAAAGGCAAGTTGTATTGAATTCAAGAAATAACATCAGAGATGGAGAGTGACTGATAGAACTTCATCTTCCTCCTTTTAGGAAGAAGGTGAATGTGCCTTATTACTTTATGACGGGTATTTACATCACATTTGTTAAAAGCACCGTATTGTTTGGAAATAATAACATGGTTAATGTGTTTGTGTGAGAGCCAAATAATCAAAAGAGTGACCTATACTGGTTACTTCTGGTTGATACTTGGTGTTAGACCTGCCTCATAAACTGTATTGTAAACACTGAAAGCCTGGAACCCACATTTTCTTGATTTCCTTGCAAATGAGATTTGATTTGTAGCCTACCTATTAAGGTCACCTATAATATTAAAAAAAAAAAAGAACAAAAAACAGAAGAGCAGCATCATAAGAAACCATGCATAAAGGTTTATTCTGATGGCATATATGAGGTTTTATGCCATATAACGTCGTATATGATGTTACTGGCCCCCGCTTGGGCAAATCAACCATTAATGGGAAGTCAAGTGATCAAGTGATATGAGGTTTTGCAGGACCTTCTTCATTCTGTTAATCATCTGCTTCAGTGTTGCAGGCTGAAGAAGTTTTCATCATTAGCTCTGGTTTCCCACTGATCCTGTGACTTTATTTCCTGTATTTACTGGCAGCCTTCCTTGACCTTCTTTCCCCTCCTCTGCCCACTCTCTTCCAAGACTTTGAAAGCACCTATATTATTTTCTTGTGTGTATGTAATTCATGGTCTTTTGAATGAAAATTGTCTTAAGAGACAATTTTACAGAATACAAGAGATTATTCGTTTTTTGAGGAGATTGATTGGTAAGAGGGTTTGGGTTTGCTGCTTTAGGGGCTATTCTTGAATCTTGGTGGTATTTATGGGACAACATGGTGCCGCGAATTGAACAGGGTCTATCTCTCTAGCTCAAGAGGATGTTTTATTTTGTTTATTTGTTGAGGTGAGTAATGTTATTGAACCCAGGGTCTCAGGCATGGGTGGCATGTGCTTTGCCTCATTCTCAGCCCTTAAGAATAGTTAAAAGTTGCCTGTTCTCTCTCAGAAGAACCAGAATTAAAACTATAAGTCATCATGGGCCAGAGTGATAGTATAGCAGGTAGGGCATTTGCCTTGCACTCAGTGATCCAGGTTTGATGCAGTTTGATCCTTAGCGTCTCATGTTACTGTTCCTGCACGGGTGCATGGGTGGCTGGTCACCAGCCTGTCTGTGGTCACCCGAGGGTCCCTTGGGTGCATTTAGGGCTGATCCCTGACCCCCCTTACACACATACATAGACACACACACACACACACACACACACACACACACACTGGCCGACAGAGATGGATGAACAGGAGGGAATCGGGGCTTGGTAATCAGTGGCAGTTTATTCCAGTCTCACAGCATTAGTTTCAGTGAAGGGTTGGGGGGTAGCAATTACATGTAGGTATGGTTGAACATTATCATAAACTATGAACAGATGTAAAACCCTTCAGCAGAAATTCTAGGAGATATTCAAGACAAAGTCTTAAGTACTTAGCACTCTAGATTCCTTCTAGGAGATCTGCCCAAGGGTGGAATTCCATCTAAGGGTATATAGCTTTCCCCTTTCCTTAGCCAGTATCCACTTAAATAATCATCTTAAATTTGCGTCCTAATAGTATTTCTAGTCATTTTGTATGGACTCACTAAGAGGTATGTTAAACCTAAAGTTTGACT